AATGGGGAAAACGTTTATAGGCTGCCAGGTTTGTTAATATTACAAAAAATACAAAATATGTGAAAAAATATTGATACTGAATATTCTGCTAAAGTATGGAAAATGGGTTTCCATTACATAATTAAACCATTAAAAAGTATTCCAATTACATATGCTGTGGAGTCTAAATATAACTTTGTAAATAGGTATATTAAAAGCAATACTAATGTCACACATAACTTTATCTGATAATAGAAATGCATCAGACAAATTGAAGTGCTAGTAATGAAATAAAAAAAAGATTAATGCTCTCATTTCAGTTAGTCCAGTTAAATTGTATGAAGGTAAATCACTTTTTAACTTTTTAAATGATCTTATTAAATAAAATATAATGAAAATACTGATAATATTGTCTCTCTTCAGATTTTTGTCAAAGTGTTCCCTCACGCTATGATGGCTTTGATATCAGCAGGGGCTTCACACGCGACTATATTTATAATCTCACGTTCTGTTTTTAGGCTCTTTCATTATGCAGGGCTTCTTCAGACAGTGAGACAAGATTACTTGTTTTTAAGAAAGGCGTGGACAAAAACAGTAACAGTATTGCAAATGTTTGTCCCTTATAGCTTCTGCTTCCCAACTTTTGCCCTTTTTTGCATGTTATTGCTGCTATACTGAAGGAAAAATGTTAACAAAATTAAATCTTTGTTTTAATATTGAGAAGATTTGGGTAACATCTTCAGTACACAGTAAAAAAAATAGATCACAATCAGTATTTAAGCCATCTGATGTTATTTGTCTTAGAGGTTACCCTTAAAAAAAACAAAAACTCAAAGCAAGACAAACCCAAACAAGTAAAATCTTTTCCTGCTGACTTGCTCTAACTCATAATTTTGTGTATTTCTTTTCAAAGTACACCAATAAATAAATAAAAATAATTAGATTATTATATAAGACCAACAAAAAAAAGATTATTTTAAAGAGACAAACATTATCTGACTTTAAATTTTTTGCCCTGCCCTATTCACTGCAGTATCAATGTATTTAAAGACAAAGCTGGAACACTGTTAACTCCAACAGTTAACGTATCTTCATGCAAAATAATAATGTTAACATGTAACAGCAGTATTAATGACTCAATTGAAAAGCCAACCACCATAAAAAAGGTTTTCATAATATGTGCAGCTAAACTTTGAATTAATAAATAATGAGACTCATAATCCAGCCATAATCATATAAAGTTTAGTCTATTTCTCTTTCTGATCTGCTATGCAAGACTTCAAGAAAACCTGGCAGTGCTCCTGTAGGTGTTGGTAAATGTCACAGCCGGGAGCTAATCCAGCAAGATAAATGCCATCTGCGCCTTGTCACTTGGCCATTAGGAGCCCAGAACAGTTGATTGATGTAAAGAACAAAACCGCTTTCTATTGACTGACATACTGTAGCACACAGTCCACAGGGACTGTGGTCACAGTAGTCAACGCAGAAAACAACATGTTGGTGGCTTTTGTGTTCAGAGGAGGAATGTGGTTAACACATTAACCCTCAAAAGGCAGAGTGACATGGAAAGGTGTGAGGAGTGGAGCAAGAGAATCACATGTGACAATATAAGAGGTGGAGTTTTCAAGGAAAAGAAAAAAAAAGGAGTGTTTTAATAAGCGCAGTTTATGGGTGCCAGGCGGTCAAAGATACTGAATGTTTATCTGATCTGAGCCACATATTGATCGAGAGAGTATGTGGAGTACAAAATAACATACTGAGGATGGTGCACAAAATATCTCTGTGTATTTAAAGCACTGAACAGCCTGCAGGATCACAGCACAGAGCTCTGCCAAATAAAGGAGAAATCCTTCACATACATCTTACACATACTGACCAGGGGAATGCTGCAAGTTGTCACCACACCCTGGTTACATAGTACCAGCTGCAAACAAAGTGTGTGATGTTATCACAAGGGAGAGGCCTTTCTGTGTAAAAATTGAAAGTTGTCTGGTATGCGCAGGTGTTGTTGTTTGCTCCATCTTTTCACATGGTTTGTTTTTAAAGCTGACTGGATCAGTTAGGTCTCTGCAGACACTTCCATTCCCAATCAGCAGCCCTACTGGCTTGGCTGTGACACAACTCAGTCAGAGCATTGGAGAAGTGATGGACAGAGACAGAAGAAAATGAGTGATCCATCTTTGAGAGTAGTGCCATGACTAATTATGATGACATCGACTAAATATTGGCAGACCACGGTATTTGTTTTAATCAGATGGTGAATTAAGTTGACTTGCAGACGATGGATCAGTTTGGTGGAGTTCAGTGGGCTAAACACAGAATGCTCAATGTCTTTAACTTTGCTGATGGATGCAGGAGACGCGCAGTAATTGGTTCATAGCACTAACTTTGGATAAATTCATTAAGTCCTTGGCCAGATATCAGATTCAAAACATGTTGTCAGACAAAAGCTCAGAGTGGTATTTGCAAATGTTTATAAAATCAAATGCTTAAAATTGAATAAATGTATCCAAATTACTTTTTTGTTGTAAATTTTTATCAAATCTTACTGAGAAGTAAGATGAGAATGAAGCAAAACAATGGTTTTTGTATCAAGATAATAAATCTCTGTACATCAGAGAATAACATATTGGTCATATGTAAGATAAAAATACTAGTAGTACCTCCTGTTGATTTATGTAATATAAGATTGCGTTGACAAGCTGCATTCTTTAAAATTGCAATATGTCATGTCCTATAGTCATATTTTGCATTAGCATGAACTTTAGTTGTGTTTTTAAATATGCCTTACACTCCTGACACTAGAGATTCTGTGGAGCAGAAATGTTTACAGCATTAGTCCAGAAAACCTCTATCTGGACTCCAATTAAAGCAACTGTAATATCAGCATTGTGTTCGAGCATAAAACAGTGCTAAAGCTTTTTCTATCAATATCAAAGTCTTATGTACATTTCTGAATGTGTTTTATTCTGGAAAGAAATATCTGTCACATTGTACTTTGTGCACTTCTTCAGCCCTCCCAGGTCACTGCAAGCCCGTCTTTGTCTTTCATGCTGTGAGAGCATCTTCCACAGAAAATCTCCCACTGAAAGGTACATGTGGTAACAACTGCGAAAAAGGTTCAGCCCAACAATGTCTGTGTGTGAAAAGGAGTATATATTCTTTCAGGCCCCAAGTCAATACAGAGCTGACATTGGAAGGCACCCAGTGATTTGATTAAAAATTGTAAGTTTTTAATGCTACGAAATTAGAAATGTGAAAGTTTAATTAATGCTTTAAATGCAAGGTAACTTTAAGGTCTTGATCTTTAATGCAAATTGTGCATTCTGTGGATTTATGCTCCATATTTTGGCCCCTGACCTCTGCTCCTCCAGGAATTAATCAATGGACTTTATGAGTAAGAATTTCTGTCATTCATATGGACCCAATATATTATTGTGTATTTATGTGCTTCTTCAAAGAAGAGAACCTTGATCCTTTCCATTTGAAAAAAAAAAACTTATACTGCAATAGAGACTATTTTGCACATATAGTATCAGACTTGATTAAAATATGGAATTAGTGTTGTCAGTCTAATTTTAGGAAGTAAAAATAGGAATAAGAAGAAATTGCACAAATGTTGAAGGAGTTGATTTTTGCAGTATTTGATGTGACGTCTCAGTTTTAGATTTTCTTTTTTTTTAATCTATGTAAAACTAGAAACAGCAAGAGGAACCAGAAGGCACAACCCAGATTTTACTCTTATTCTCTCTGCAGCGAAGATTAGCAATGGCAAAACCCTATTTAACCGAGACCTGACATTACAGAGATTTAGCTACAAATGTAAAGTACTTACTTTTATGAGTATTTTGAAAAATGTTCTATTTTTTAAAGCAGTTGCCCTTTCAGCTCCTGGACTGTACTTATTAAAAATAAAAACTGATTTTACTGTCAAAATCAGCACAGTGTGATGATTACTTTTGACTGAGTGTCCACACAAAGCATCCATTCAGTTTATCTATGCGCTCTGATACCTGCAGTCACTGGTATAAGAATGCAGGTATTATGCAGTCTTATATTTTATACCCTCAATGAACTGGTGACCCTTGATGAACTGGTCACCAGTTCATCAAGGGTCACATCCAAAACAAGCTAACACTAATACTAAGACATTAATTCTGGAAATATAAAATTTCAATGTAAACCTGTTATCATTACACAACAAACTGCTCAAATGTAGAAGATAAGGAAAACACAAAATACGATAAATGTATGAAGTTTGTCCTGATAAAATTTTATTGTGAAGCAAGTTATGCTTAAAAAATGTACTATAACAATAAGAAATGTACATGAACTTGTCCATACACAAAGGTCATAAATTAGTTTAAATGTCTGCTTTTGGATTAGTTTTTATTGAACTAATAAATGTTTTATCTCAGACATATGCAACTGAATGACATCAAAGACAATGAAATGCAAATTCATAAGCACCATGTGCAAAAGGTTTATTATATATTAAAATCTGGGTGTGGACTGGATTAACTTGCCCCCTGACAGCTTCATGTCAAGCAACTCTCCTGTTTGTGACTCATTATATTCAATCAGATCCCCTGATCTGAGAATAAAGAATATTCTTTACAATATTCTTTATTCTTTACAATAATGGAAAGTTGACATTTTATTTAATTGTTATTCAAAAAAAAACTGAAAGATGAAAATCTGAAACAGACTGGTGGATCATGAGACACACTCCAGATGTGACTGCTTTTTAAATCAATTAATCCCTTCTGTGACCATTAGTATCACTTTTACTGCATTTTGCTTGACCCCTCTTCAACTAGAACACAACAGATTTTACACGTACTCTGCAACCACTGCCCATCAATTCCCCTCCTTAAAAATAAAACTGGGGGATAAAGCAAACGCATCTCTTCTTTAACAGAAACGGCAACCCACTTTTTTAGTTGGACTTATATTAAGAACTTTTTGCAGAACAAATTGTTTTTGGTTGCATTGCATGTGGTTATCTCGGTGCACCTTACCTTGCCTGACTTGCTGTGGTATGAGCAGCGTGGAAGCGTTGCCACAAGAGATGTTTGCTGCCTCCAAGCTCCCATTCACCGCTCCGCTCTGCATCAAGTCCTGAAGCACTCGGACGCACTCTATAAATGTCTCATTCCGCAAATCAAGATCCATGCCGCAAAGTTATCTGCCTAAAATATGTTAAAGCTGCCAAATGAAAATGTTCACAACCTTCTGTCTGTATTCTGCGCGAGTCCGAAGTGCTAAACTAAGTGCCATGCTCCAGCGCACTTACACAAGTTACGAGTAATTACCAAAAAATAGAAAAGGAAAGAAAAGGGGAAAAAAACATGTTTCTCTTATAATCCTTTCATGCCAATGTGCAACTAAAGATTCATCCTGTTTGGTGCTATTTGTGAGATCTGTGCGCACTGATGGGAAGGAGCGCGGCGCTACGCAGGGCTTTTGCCAACAGACCTGCACGCAGACAGCAAGCGGGCAGCGCAAAGGAGAGTCGATTTCTAATGTCATAAAGCGTTTGAATGGGTGCGTGTATGTGGGTGGGTGTGTGGGGGAGGGAGGGGGAGGGGGAGGGGGGGTTTGTGTGTTGGGTATGTATGAGAAAAGGGGAGGCAGAGAGAATGAGATCAGAATTCATGATTCTGTTGATTTATGACGTTGGTTTATGATTAGCCTAATAAAAAATAACTCTTTATTTAAAGAATAAATGTGCTATTCGTGGTTCCAGATTTAAATCAAATTATTTAAGTAAAGATGATCCTGAGACATTTAAGTTTTTTTTTTTTTTTTTTTTTTTTTTTTTTTAATCCAATTACAAATAGGCCTATTGAATGGAAAATATTTAATGAAAATGATTCAATCAGTTTAATGAGGGACTTGTAAAGTCTCTCACTCATTAAAAGAACAGCATCTCAGCCTAAATAATCAATCATCTCATAGCATTTCTGAAATTTTCTACATATTTAAAAGATGCATGATAGTTTTAGCATTTTAAGAGAGGGTGCGTTAATACAGCGTTTTATCCGTCCACTTGACATCCAGACAGGATTGCTGTCAGATTTTGATCGAAACATAAATGTTTTCTCTTGATTTAAAACAGATAGATGTCATGTGCTACTTTGCAGAAGCCAAGGAAGCAGTTGCACAAGCTCACCGGTGCCCCCATGTGGCGAGAAAGTACACCACTACTATTTTCTTTCCACCATTGAAGGTTGTTTTTTCCTATTATTTTTTCCAAATGCCATGTTTCCCATTAACAATATTTTTTAACCTGTTTCTTTTTTATATTTATTTTATTGCTCACATAAATAAATCAAAGTTTATGTGAGCAATAAAACATCTATTAAAAAAGAAAAACATTGATGTAGTTAATCAATTTTGAGCATTAAAGAGAGGTGGCGTTTTTAGAGAAACTATATTCAATCCTATTATTGCAGCTAATAATTCAGTCCTTTCTAACGTCTAACAAAATCATCATGTCAGTAACACTGAAAGCTGAGTTTTATTGTAATTGTAATCAACCAAAGGAGGCACGGGAAGACTAATAACTATCAGAAAATTATTCACTCAAAATTTGATGAATTTATTTTGTAATTAAGCTTATTTACAGCATGATAAAATAGTGTGATTTTCATCAGGTCTATTCAGATCTCTTTTTTCAAACAAACGCAGCCAAGGCCATTTCTTTCAGGCACGTTCTTTAGTTCTGTTGAACAGAATTTTCTGCCTTTCAACTTTAGAAAAGTTATTTTTTTAAAGAAATTGCTTTTGGATGGCTAGTATTTTGTTCTATATTGCAAAGTCTTTAAGTTTTATTTTGAGATGGAATAAGGATAAGGACATTTAATTTTCTAAAATCTCATTCCAGAGATTTTAAGCAGTTAGTTTCTGGATGTGTATTATTTTATGTTCAATTCTGGCACAGAAATTTACTGAAAGGTGTTGCTAGACTGAAGCATTCCAGTCTTCGAGGGCCAGTGTCCAGCAACTTTTAGATGTCTGTCTAATCACACCTGAGTCAAATCATCAGCTCAAATGAATCTGAAGAACTTGACTGCATGCTGGGAAGGTTCTTCTGCTTTTTGATTCAGGTGTGTGGAACCAGCAACACACGTAAAAGTTGCAGGATACCGGCCCTCCATGATTGGAGCTACAAACCCTGGACTCAAGGAAAGATGAATGGAAATGCATGTCAGATTTATCAGATTTATATCTGTTCAAAAATTGGAGTATATGAATATCTTATAACATTGTAATAATCTCAACTTAAGGCACGCACAAGATTGTTTTTCTCTAACTCTTCTGTTTGTACATTTGGGAGATTAAACTGTCGCTCCTCCTGAAGCCTCGATGTTGCTGCAGGGCGTAGACCTCATCTACTTGGCCTTTAAACACTCAAGGGACTCCCAGAAGAGAAGATAAAAAAATAGGACCATTATTTCAAGCATGGCCTCTGTAATCTCTCTCCAGTTTTGAGTGGCTGCAGCAGGTCATGTGCAGAGCCTCTTACCCCAGATAAACAAGCCTGTGAGGATTCCAATCAAGACAAGAAGAGAGACTAGTGCTTCCTTCTGAGAGAGGTAATCGCTGCATAGCGTGGAGCATTGATTATGGATGCTCCAGTACTGATGAGGACTAGCTGAATATAATCACTACTGGGGTGGTACTTCACAGCCCATTTCTGCATGTTTTGATGCACCAATATGTCCATACTTTCTTCACGTTTCTGTAAACACCCTCCCATTTTGTTATAGATCAAATGAACAACTGCAGCCCTGGAAGGCTCATCAATACAGACATTCATCTTCAGGGGAAGACATTAAACGCAAGCTGATGGTAGGTGATGGATAGTGAATACATCAGCACTAAACCGAGCTAAAACAGTTTCCTGTCTCCTATCTGTCCTCTCCTCCTCTACTGTTTGGCTCGTGGACTCCTGATATCGATTGCTAAAACACTGTACCAGGTCGGTAAAGGGGGGAAAAGGCTGCTGGGTGGGAGTCATGTTTTGTCTCGTAATGGGGTATGCTCAGATCACTGGCCCAGCCCAGGCTGAAGTGCTTTTGTTATGGAGGTAAACACGGTGATATAGTATCTGGAAGCACACTCATGCTTCTGAGGCTTCCCCGGTTATTCATAAACACTGTTTTCATAAGATTTGTTCTACCTGAGAGAAATAAATATTTAAATTAGCTGATTCTCTGCTATCATTCCAGCTTTTAAGCTCATAAATCTTTAATAGGGCTTAGCTTGTGACCATTCCAGAAGCTAAGTGTTTACTCCTTCTGAAAAAGGGTTTTTGTGCTGTTTGAGCATTAAAAAAATTAATAAAATTAAACATGTATGATCATTCTGATATAGATGCAGATCATCATGAATGATCTGCATCATTCATCTGCACTGAGGTGCAGATGATAGATTATTAGATAGTCTTTCGTGTTAATAATGGCTATTTTTACAATTTTGTACAACTTTCAGAAGTGCAAAAGTATCTAAACATGCCTTATTCATTGTGGCGAAAAAGTTCAATCTTTGTGACATCTACCTATAAAACTTCTCTGGCTTGGCTTTGTGGTTTGCTTGGTTTGTAAGTGACTTCAGAAGTCTTGAATTAAGAGCAGCCATGTCTTTTATGGCCCTCTCTGCTCAACTTGATGGTAAACCTGTAACCTGTGTGGAAAGTCTGATTGGTGTTCCAGGAGTCTCCACTTCACTATAAACTCCAGCCATGGTGGTTCATAGGATATTCCTGAACATCCATATCAATATCATGTCATAGGAGTTGAAAGTTTGTGTCAAATGAGTTAAACTTTCTCACAATCAGTCAGTTGTTCCAGCTGAGCTAATGATCCTAATACACATAAGCTTTGGTTTTAGAATAAAAGAAAATGATCTTAAACTACATTTTTGGAATTATCCTAATCTCAACAATACCGAAAATTGTATTGTAAGCTTTGGGGGTGAACCTTTCATACCTTTCAAGATATGGCTAGTAGCTGTGAAAAGTGTGTGATTTCTCTACAACTTGCAATCAGCTGTGGAAGGTCTATGAAATTGCCAGCAGTGGATGTATATTTGCATGTTTTCTAACCATCTGGGTGAAAAATGGTTAATTCTGAAATTAGAAATTCAACAAAGTACCAAAAACATGCAGGAAAGAACATTTGAATTCTATTTATTGTTCACTTGATAGGAATAGAGACAAAAAATTCAGACAAAAATGATCTGATATGTGTGTGTATGGCCATAGGTAATTTGCAACACTTGTCCCTAAAGACATCGTGATTATGCTATATTCTTTTTGAAATAGATAAAGGAATGATTAACTGCATGTAGTTAATAAGATCCTTCTTTTAACAATGAAGCACAAACATTTGGAATATCTTCTATTGTTTTTGTACAAGAAATTAAATGTAATGAGCTAAAGTAAGTACAGTTAAGTGTTGTGTTGTGAGATGATTTTGTTTGCATCATTATTTCTGCAGTGTGTACAAAGACAGTGGGGTAATGTGATATGTATTCTTGCAGGCTGCTGAATGGAAATTGATGTCCAGTAGGTAATGGATTTTATACATCTTTCCACCTACAGTTAGAAATATCTCAGCATGCATTAATGCTCCCTGTGGTAATGGACTGCAAAAAACGAGCCCCAAAAAATTCTGTGCAACTTATTGAAGTTCAAATGACTAAAATTGCTTTGTGTCAATTATTATTGGAAAAGTTTAGTAAAACACAACAAACAACCTTAAAATAAAGGGAGGGTCTTACTGCAGTAACATAATCATAACAATAAAAACAACTGCTTTTCTTCAGCTCATCTCGTTCCTTTTCAAAAACACGTGTTAGTGAAAACAGTTGAACATACCACATTCATAAATGAAAAAATATAGGGTTTTTTTTATAGTGTTGAAAAAATAACATTCTTCTCTGGAAAAAAGAAATCAAAACATTTCAAATATTTACCAATGCATTTTTAAGGCAATGATGCCTCAGTCATAAATTGAACATTGTTATATCACTGTTTTGTATTACACAAACAGGATTTTGTAAAGTTACTGTAACATTTTGGATTATTGTTTTTTATTTGAAGGAAGTTTTTATTTTTTATTTTATTTTTTTTTTAAATGGTACATACAAATATGCATCCACTGCTGGCAATTTTATAGATTTCACAGCTGATTGCAAGTTGTAGAGAAATCACACACTTTTCACAGCCATCAGTCAGATCTTGGTATTGTTCTGACTGGATAAAAATGGTAGAGCTACATTTTCGGTATTGTTGAGATTAGGATATTCCAAAAATTTAAACTGCTGGAAAAAGATAAATATTTTTTTTAGAAAAAAAAAAAAAAAAAAAAAAAAAAAAAATATATATATATATATATATATATATATATATTTTTTTTTTTTTTGCTTTGCTGACAAATGTGTACAAGTACTATATATATATATATATATATATATATATA